AGCAGTGACAGATCTGGGAGACAAATGAACAGAAATGCCACACGGCCAGCGGAAAAGGGCGGACACCAGCAGTGACAGATCTGGGAGACAAATGAACAGAAATGCCACACGGCCAGCGGAAAAGGGCGGACACCACCAGTGACAGACCTGGGAGACACATGAACAGAAGTGCTGCATGGCCAGCGGAAAAGGGCGGACACCAGCAGTGACAGACCTGGGAGACAAATGAATAGAAATGCTACATGGCCAGTGGAAATGGGCGGACACCATCAGTGACACAAAGGGCGGACACATCTGAAGAAAGAATTGAGAACCCCTAACAGTGAACTGTTTGGGGATTAATACACAAGATCCAAAGGCTCAAGTGGTTCTCATCTGCATGAAGATGAAGCAAACAAGCGGTACCGGACCGACGCCGAAACTCAAAATCGAACAGAAAATCCAGAACTCTGGTATGGTTCGAACACGAGGCAGCACTTTGGGAGTGGCTGCTGGTATTAGGTCTTGCATGCCACGATGGTCAATGCAGTGTCAGTTCCTTTCAATTCCTCTCTTGAAAAATATACAGTCGAAAAGATGATGCATTTCAATCATTGCTCATTACTCATTACCAAAAAGGACTCTTTTGATGGTCGAGTCAAGTGGTAATGAGTCTTGTACGATCCAATTTGAGGTTCGAGTGGTCGGGCTTGGTCCACGGCACAATGGGAGGCTCGCAGTGCTGCGAGCAGCGCAAACCAAAGGTTCCTTTCTTTTAGGCATTTATTGTTTCAATGCAAGGATGTGCAGCGTGGAAGCTGTGGACATGAGGCGCTAGACGTAGAGTCTGGAAGTTTCGGTGTGAATTTGAACCAAGTAATGATAAGTAATGCTTGGTCGGACAAAACATTCTTTGCAGAATGGTTCGACTGATGAGGCGTCGAATTCTTCGAGTGAAGTTCCTGGAGAGCAATGACATGCTCGAGCTTGGGCCAACGTGGAACATCTCAGCCCAATTTCAGATGTTCTTTTTGTTTCTAATGTGTTGCATGTGTTGTTTTCTTTGTGCACTCAGATGTTAAGATTTTTGAAGGTATACCGGTTCAGCGCGCCTCAGGTATTTGGAGCTCGTTGAGAAAGCAAGGGACAGCCAGCTGTTTGTTGCGTTTACAGCAAAGCACACACACACACACACCTATACTGTATACGTATTATACAATCATATAATCATATATATATAATACATAATCACATACAATCAGCTTGTTTTGTGCCAAAGTGTTTACCTGGTTCTGGAGAGTACCTTGTAGGAGCAGCCCTCTATTGCACCCATTCGGCAGGGTGTGCAGGCCCAGCGCCCAGGTAGGACCTATTGACCTACTGGGTTATACAGTGCTTAGCACTGTGCTTGACAACAATCAAGGGTGTGTATGTGTGTGTGTGTGAGCACATGACCTTGGTGTCGGTGGATGGTCAGCATCCATCAGCCCAGGGCGAAGGGGGGCTTCGCGTCGGTGATACAGTAGGGCCCCTGGCCATGCCTGCAACTGTAAAGAAAGGGATAAATAAGACGAAAGAAACAATGCGTAAAGAAAAGAAACAGACAAAGCAAATAATAAGAAGGCGGAAAAGAACAGGAAAAAAACATCGCACACAACATCTCTGTGCCCGCATGTCTTTCAGGTCAGGATCCTCGCACCTCCGCAGCACCGGGGAAAGGCCTGGCCAGTCCAATGCGACAGGAGTTCCGAGTGACATGTGCTGCTGGTGTAGTGTGTTGGAGTTCTCTAGGCATTTTTCTGTTTGTCTGTCTTTCTTTAGGGTGGAGGCCATCGCTATTAGGTTGGAGGCCATTGCTAGCAACTGCTCGTAGGTTGGAGGCCATTTGTGTTTCTTTCGATTCCACAACCTATTCTAAAATCAAACTCTCGGGACCAACCCAGCAGGTCGCGACCGTGGAGGTTCCTAACACGGGTGATGGTTCGCTCAGAGTTCGCCTCCAGGAGTGAACCAAATACTTGTTGCAAGTAGAGAAACCAATGCTCAAAGCCCATTGTTTGTGGCTGCCTGCTTTCATTTTTGAGATGGATCCATTCCTTTCACTTTTCTTCCTGGACTGGCAAGTCTCCACCTGATACATTTCATCCTGCATCCGACCGAGCCAAACACCTCGCAACTGCAGGACCCATTTGGCCAGGATTCGCCAGCATGCTTCGCACTGGGAGCATTCTGTTTCTGGATTGACCTGTCAACAACTTCTAGCGACCTAACGTTTTCCTATTTCCGACATGCCATGCCAGGTTGATATGCTTGTGCTACTCCCAACTCATGTTCAGAACATGGCGCGAGCCTACACGTCCGTCAAGAGAGCGAAGAAGCGCCAGCGAAGCACCGATGCCTCACAAGGACGGAACACCAGTTGCTGGCACTGCTGAAGCAGTGGCAGCCTCACAGGCTCAAGTCAACGCAGTCCGGCAGGTGGGCAGTTTTTGAGAAGGAGCATTTATTGGAGCAGCTTTTGCAAAATATATAGTTATATACAGTAGATTTCCAGGATAGAGGAGAGATTTGTTGCACATTTGCGCTTTTGGAAGGCTGCTTCCATGCCTCCTGGGGGAGATGCTCCTTTAGCCATTCAGCCTGCGCCCTGCGGTTGCAGATGTTCTATTTTGCTTGGGCGCGTCCTTCTCACTGTAGGCGCGGGGATCGAGTACGAGTGAAGGCATCCTTGCAATCTCAAGCCGGCAAGGCTTGGTCACACTTGGAATTTTGTATGCATAGCATATTGACCGAGTTTCTTGTTGGCTTCAAACTTTGTCAAGGTCATGATTGACATGTGTAACAAAGGTCGGCATTGTAGAAATGGAAGATGATGGAGCTGGCTGTGCTGTGGTCCAGCTGATGCCTCAAAGCTTGATATTGATCTGTGTGTAAGTTGGGAGACGCTTTACACAACCATGGACTTTGTTGCATCTCTGACAGCTACTTAGGATTCAGGATAGCATGGGCTGCTTGGAAGTAAACGCTGTAGCAGTTTGGAACTCTACGGATTTGCACTCAGAATGCTACTCGTGCAATCTGAGGACTAGCGCGCCTCCGCATCAATCCCGTGCACTTAGATTTTGCTTAAATTCAGCCGAAAGCTCAAGTCATTTTCTACGAGCACATGGCACATGGTAGATTTGCATGTAGCTTTGCATTCGATCTCAGGTAAAAGCCCACCCACCATTCCCCAGGTAGCACAGAGAAAAGGCCCTTGGTCGCCACACATGGCCACCTGCCAAGCACACATACTCTCCCATTGTGGGCAGTTTGTCCATAATTTCGAATCGCACAATTGATGTCCGACCTGTGCAAAGGGGGCGAGTGACCAATGTAAAGAGGACATCGCTAAAACCATTGACTGGCGGAGACACTACTAAGACACATGGGCCCAGCTTCGTTGGGTCCTTCATCCATGGCGGTGGGTTGGTTGACCAAGCATCGTGGCAACATCCCCCCCGCTGAGCGAGCTCTACACTGCAGTTGAGCTTGAGCCAAGCCAACAATGTTAATTCTTGTTTCTAATAGCTTCTTGTTCCTAGTAGTAAGGCCAGGAGCCCCTGTAGCGTCCTTGCTGCTAGTAGCGATTCCAGGAGCCCCTAGTATATGTATTTATATATATGAAGTGAGCGTTGCAGTCATATGTTGGCATGCTCCAAACCCTGGCACACGATAGGGGACTCACAAGAAATGAAACCCTTGAACAAGGTTCCAACACATTGGAAAACTATAAGGGACTCACAAATCTGACGATGCAATAGCCGCACACATACAATAATTTTGATCGTACATCATATAAATGTCAAGGAACTGGGGAAAGATTGTAGTTTGTCTTCAATCAGGCTTTACTGGCCTGAACATCCTGAACATGGTTGAGCGCAATGACCGTTGAATGTCATGTTACCCATCAAGACCCTCAGACTGTCAGTGAAGAGCACTTTTCCGGAAGAGGTGCATGAGATGCGCTGGGGCATGGGGCGGCTACCAGTAGGGGAAACATCTTCCGATTTGCTCTACCTGCTTCTGCAAAGTAAGGTCGGGACACTTCAATCTGAGCCGAAGCTTTGATTGGGCTTCGGTATTCAGTGCTTGTGCAGGACAAGCCCATCATTGCGAAATGGGGCAATGTTTTCGAAGCCTGCTCAAGTTTAACGCCATCAATTTCGACAGAGTTCTGTTTGTGCAGCCTATACCATTGCATCATATTTTGGGTGACCAAGATGCGTTGTACGATGTTGTACGGCTTTCATCCGGTACCAATTGGTGCTTGAACCAAATAGTTTGGCAACTTCGGAGCATCGGTCTCAGGCCATTCGCATCATGTAGATTCAACTTATCTCCCATCTGGTTTGCTTTCGGGAAAAAGCAGTCATGCAGGTGGTGTGGCTGGCCTTATATATAATTGTTAGTATGATAAACTGAACGCGCGATGCTGCCCTGGTTTGTTCAGTCATGCGGTTGGGTGGCTCAAGGGCGATGTTGCTTGTGTATGCCGAGGGTTTGGTGGGCAGGTGTATGGGAATGACGGTTCCCGTTAGTTTGCTTCAGTTCTGTCGAAGTAAAAGTGCACGTGGCATTTGGACCGGGAAGTAGCAACTTGAAGTCCGGATTGGGACACATATGAAGACATCTTTGGACGCGGAACATGCCGAAAAATAACGGGTGGTGGAAAACATGGCACGCATGAAGACACTCGATCACATTCACCAGGAAGGAACACATTGGTTTCACCAAACGAGTTGACTTATGTTGACTTTACGTTTGCGCCAATCTACCCTGGTCCATGTGTCTAGATACCGCCTTTGGCCTTTGACTTGCTGAAAGTTCTCGTTTCAAATTTTAATTGAGTGTCGCACGCCTCTGTGGATCAAGCCAAGCTCAGCCAAACGATGTGGCCAAAGCTTCCCATGTCAGAAACTCAATATGTGCTATTCCAACTCCTTCCCTGCAAAATAAAGCAGACATGACAGCACATTTGCTACAACGGGTTAGGAAGCATGGCACCAGCGCTGCCAAGCATGGCCGCGGCAAGCTTGCGACAGCCCGAGATGCAGCTCAGAGCTGCTACGTTCAGTCCCACACAAGCTACACAGGCTGCACCCGCACGCCCGTTCACACCGAGTGTAATCACTGGTGGAAGCGAGAGCAGCCACCGGCGCCATTTGCCTTGCGCTGTTGTGGCATGCTTGGCAGGGACGTGGGCAACGAGAAAGCGCCGGAGCCAAGTTCCGCGACTTGGCACTTTGACGGCAGGTGATGCCGAAACTCCAAGCAATGCGATAGAGGAATGGCTATTGAGTTTGGACTTGCCGACTCCACTGAAACCTGTCTTGGGGAGTTCAGCCTGGGCCAGTTTTGCGGCATCCTTGGTGCAAATGTTCGTAGTTGCTGGGCTTTCCGCCCTCGGCACTCTAATCGAGCAAGGCGAATCTCCTGCATTCTATGCACAAAAATACCCAGAATCATCAGGTATTCTTTTGATGCTTGGATTTGATCACATGTATAGCTGTCCACTTTTCTTGGGATTGTTAGCATGGCTTGCTGCATCGCTCATTGCATGCACCGCTACAACGCAGTTGCCATTGGCCAAGAAGGCCCAGCGCTTTTCCTTTCGTTCGTCAGCTGCCATGAAGCGCAGAGGTAGCTTCCTGATGCGCATGAACTGTCCGGCGTCCTCTGCCGGCGTAGCCGCGACCGGGGCAGCAACACGACTTCTGCAACTGCGGGAAGAACTACAAGGTCGAGGCTTCATCGTTCGCTCAGATGACGACGTAAACCCAACTCAATTGGCAGCATCTCGAGGTCTTGTGGGAAAGTTTGCTCCAATGGCAGTCCACCTTGCCCTTTTGCTGACCCTAGCTGGAAACACAGTGGGATTGGTCTTCGGATCATCGAGTGAAGTGCTGGTCGGTGACGGGGGATACGCTGACATTGGCAAAGTGTTGGATGCTGGTCGCAGAATCAAAGGTCCTTTGTCTATGCTGAGTCCCAACAAAGGACTGTTGGAGTCAACCCTTGTGAGAGTTGATGACTTCCGGATTGAGAGCCTCACTTGCATGTAATGTTTAATTTGTCAAGGAAGTGTTATAGGGCTGCCAGCTTGAAAGTGCTGAATTCAGAGTGAGGTACAAGGATGATGGGAATATTGACCAGTTCTACAGCAAGCTCGCAATAGAGGATGCCAACACCCAGAAAGAACTTTATAGCATTTTGCTCAAAGATTGTTGGTTTCACAGGAAGACAGCTTGCAGATTGATAGTCCAGCTATGTCGCGGCTGTTTTCCTTTCTTGCAATTTGAACGGATTTTTGTGACTGGCTTTGTTTGTGACATCACATCATTGAGGTGATGAAATCTTTGTGAACAAACCTTTGCGCTATGGTGGTGCAACGCCTCTCCGGCATGGCGTACATTTGAGAATGCCTTGAATGTGTTTTGCTTGTTCTTGCGAGCCTTCCCAATCCTTTCTTCAATGTCACGCGGCGATACGGTTCTACATGTATTGCTGGAAGTAGCCTTTCTCAATCCAGCAGGATTTACCAAGCAGACTGGGCAATCGACCGCCTGCAGATGTGCACTCCTTAGCTACTACTTCAATGTTTTTTGTGATTCCCTGACGCCGGTTTGTTGTGGCAATACTTTGGCGCTAGGTTCATCAATGGATTTCCCGTGGTCGTCCCCTGCAAGTCCCTTCCAGCAGATGGAGGTGACCGCTCGTTGGCCGGGCTTGTTTACTTAGTTTTCACCTGCATTCACAGCTTTCTCTCACTGCGAAGGTCCATTCTGTTTTAGCTCAGCTTTTCTTTGTCATTGCACCATGCAGTGATTCTTTGATCGACTCTATCAATCCTGAGTGTGCTTGTGAAACTTGTCAGATGGGCAGCCTTCCTGCCACTTGAGCTCGTGACAGCAAAGGCCCAGCACAAGATATTGAGCAGTTGCGATATGACGATGAACAGTTCTTAAGTGTACATGCACCGCTTTGCCAGTAGTGATGTACGGAAAAGTGCATGCGATTGAGCTTCAGTCACTGCCGCATTTTTCTGCACAGGACCCTGCTGCTGTCAAGCAGATCACGAAGCCCAAAGAGGGTTAGCTGCTTAATGTAGAGCTCCTGAATGCAAATTTAATTGTCAATTCTTCAAAACATGTGCCATTAGAGGCCTTGCCTTGCTCTTTGGTGCAAACTGCTTTCAGCAAAGGCATCGTTTTCATCGTCCAAAACATGCGCAATGTGCAGGCGAAGCTTTCTGAGCTTTTCACAACTACAGCACTTTCTCGATGAAACAAGAAACACACACGCACACAGACACACTTGAGAAGGTTGCTCCGCGGAGCGCGATTTCAAGCTGTTCGCGGTCATTAGCCCTTTAGATGAATACGTAGCACTTGACTTGACTCAACTGTATGAAGTGAAGAATCCGCTCACTTGAATGTTTCAACAAGATGCATTAGCTCTTTATGATATGTCAAAAATTGGTGCAGGTACGTCCAGAAAGCGTCCTTTCTGGATATCACGACCAAACTATCACTGTCTTCGTTGGGCAGTGAGTGATAGTGGTCCACTGCCCCCCTGCTGAGTTTCTGTACAATCAAAAAGCAAGAATAGCTAGAATAGTTCCCTTGGAAACAGGGGTTGACACACACAGAAAGCCGAAACCGGCACAACAAGTGTAGGTAGTTGTAGGCCAGCAAGTGTTGGGTGTCTCAGTTTGTAGCAAGCAAGCTGCGAACAAGCTGGCTTTTTTCTCTCGACGGGGCCGCAGCGCTGCAGCGCAGTGCTCTTTGGAATGACCTTTTGTCATATAGAGCTGCGCCAATTGTTGGGATGTGGTTTGTGTTAAGTGCTGTGGATATGTATACTGGCGTAGGGTGTGGTGCCTTGATTGCAGGCCTGAGAGTCGAAGTCTATAACTCCTGGCAGAATGTGGATCACGGATCTGCCACGGGTGCGTGGGGAGTTGGAAAGTGATTGTTCTGTTGAGTGGATCAATGTGGAAACCGAGTAAATGGTCATCATCGACTGGCTCAATTTCCACCGGATGTTCGTAAAAGTCGGGATGGGCTAGTGTGGTGATGGGAAGTGCTTGTCGGAAGTGTTCGTTGAGGAGGATGTAACGGTTGTCAACGTAGCGTGTGTTGAAAAGGTGAAGGCTGGGTTGTTGGAGAAACGTGAAGTAGGTATGCCAGGTGTGTTCAATGAGTGTGATGGCAACATTGCAGAGTGCTGGAGAGAGTTGGCTGCCGATGCCTGCGCCTTGTATTTGCTTGTAGTAGGAGTTGCAGGCTTTGAAAATGCAGGATTGGAGTGCGTGTTGAACGATGAGGGGAATGTGTTGGGTGTCAATGGTGCGTTGTTGCAGATGGTGAATGTAGTGCCGGCCGATATGTGAATGTTGGATGGGATTGCCTGTGGATTGTACATCAATGGTGAGGGTGGTGGTGGAGTGTTGTGTGCGCCAGCGGCTGCAGAGGCTAATGACGGCATCGACCATCCGTTGTTGCGGGACGCTGTTGAAGAAGCCGACGATCTGTGAGGTGAATGTCTTCCGGTGTGTCTTGGAAGTGAGTGTGAAGTCGCTGCCACAAGTTGGGAATTGAGAGCTGGCCTGGATGTTGTGGTAGGAGGTGGAGAAGCATGATGTCTAGCGCTTTGGAGGTTGCTCGTAGGAGAGTGCCTGCAATAGAGCGGAAAGAGCTGATGACTGTTCGACCTTTTCCCCAGGATTTCTTCTGTTTTGAGAACACGACGCCATGTGGGGTGTAGAACTGTTTGCGGAATCCCCATGGGTAGGCTCGTCGAATGCGGGCTGGAAAGGATTGGGTGAGCAATGTGTGGAGTTGTTGTTCTGTGAATTGAGGAAGTGGTAGAAAAAGTTGTGGTGTATTCCAGGTTGTGAGGCAGCCGCGAAAATAGTGTTGGGGGCAGAAGAGCCGAAGGTTTTGTAGCTCATGATCTGCGTGGTGAAGGACCAGTTTGTTTGTGAGAAATTGTTGTAACTGAGCAACGTTGCGTGATGTAAAGCGGGGTGTGTGGTGGAGGTTGTCGACGTGTTGTTTCCATTGTTGTTGTAGAAAAGGTCCGCAGTGGTGGTGGAGAGATGTGGAGAGACCATGGTGGCGAAGCCACTGGATGAGGTGGTTGTGAAATCGTTGGAAATATTGTGTTTTGGTGGGAAAGAACGTGCTGTTCATGTTGGCCTGGCGAAAGAGTTGGAGGTGGCTCGGGAGTTGGAGGTCGTCCAAGGTCAGCGCGTAGTGGCCGTCGTACATCGTGGGGGTGCGATCGGATCTGAGCAGCGTGTGCATGTGGGAGCAGCTGCGTGGCATGTCATTGGCTGTCGGGTGGGCTGTGAAAAGCTCTTCCCACTGTTTGTGGTTGTAAAGCCTTGATCGTAATGTCTTGTGGGCTGCTTCGCGAAGTTTTGTTGTGGGTGGGTGAAAGGGAATGACGTGATGCATGTGGTGTTGGATAAGAGTACGAAGCCATTTTTCGGTGTCGGAGGAAAAGGTGGTGTGTGATAGAAATGGGATGGTGAAAGGTTTGTTGGTTTTGGGTGTAGTCAGGTTGCGAAAGCTGAGAGCTGAATGTATGAGATGGAGTACTCGTGATCGATCAGGTTCTTCAAGGCTGGCTGCCATGCGACGGAAGGCATAGATCTCCAGGTCTGTGTATTGGCCGCTGCGGATGGCTGTGGATGTTTCGAATGAGGATCGTGTGTGTTTGCTGAGTTCTCTCAAGACTGTCAGGGCGTGTAAGCGTTGGCTGGTGTGAAGGTTGGGTTGTTTGATGGTGTTTTGACGTCGTCGAAGTTGTTGGAAGAGACGTTTGTGTGTGGACATGCGAGTAAAAGTGGTGCGATGTTTGGCAAATTGCCAGCCTGATGCTTTTAAGTGTAGGTGTCGCTGTATGTAAGGCCAATTGAGTGTTGGCTGCCAATCTTGAATGTGGAGGTGTTCGTAGGTCCATGCTTGATCATAGGTGTCGTGGTGGGAGAGGTAGATAGTGCTGTAGTGGTGGAGATTATTTTTGGAGTGCCAGTAGCGCAGGGACAACTCCGCCGAGATCGGGCGATTGTTGTGTAATTGTTTCAGTTTTGCATGGCGGTTGTATTCCCGCTTTGGTATGCTGATGCTGGTGGATCCAATGTACGTATGTCCGTGCTGATGATATTGGTGTGTTGTGTGATGTTGATTGAAGAAAAGCTTGGCATATACTGCGTTAGGCTGTGTGTACATGTGGTAGTGGTAAGTGTGGGGTGTGACGTGGAGTTGAGTGAGTCGTGATCTCCACTTGTTGGAGTGGTGTGAAGTGTACGAAATGAGAGAGGGCGGTGTGTAACGTGGTCAGGTGTTGTAGTGTGGTGTGATTGGGTTGGTGCAGGGCTTGATGGGCGAGTCAAGCTGCTAAGGCTGACCCTGCGGCCACAAGCTGTTGCAGTGATTTTGGTGACAGCTTGAGAACTCGAGTGAGAGGAATCCCGTAGCGGGTTGCGGCTTCTTGAAGCTGTTCTTTGTTGATGCGCTCATCGCGGAGAATCTGCATAATTGCATAATGTTGTTGGCTTGCGTCTGAGCGGCTGGTGGTAGTGCCTTGAGCCACTTCTGGATGCCTGCTGGAGCATAGTTGGCAGGTGAGTTGTCTTGTAAGGTTTGTGAGGTGGGGTTGAGGATATTGTGTGCTGTGAGAGCTGCCGGTGCTGTGAGTGGGAGGGTGGGGTGGGAGCCTGAGGATGTGGGGGTTGCTCCTGGTTTGGTGGGGGTAAGTGCAATGCCGTGATTCTTGAGCTTGTCACGAGCTCGTTGAAGTTCACTTTCTTGTTGGCGTAGGCGGTCTGTCTGTTGCTGAAGTTTGCGAAGTGCTGTGCCTTCTCCCGCTGGGGGTGCGAGTCCTCGTAAGAAATCAATGAGGCGGGAAATCAAAGGCTGCGTGAACTGTTTGGCATCAGTAGTTTTATTGGGGATTGATTGATGTGCTTGTTGGTGCAAGTACTCGGCGATGTTGTCAATATCCAAGTTGTGGGCTCGGATCTCGGGCAGGAGTTGTGAGGTGAATACTGCCTCTGCGATAGATCTGGTGGTCACAATGCCAGTGTAGCGTCCCTGGGAGAGCGTGCGAAGACTGTGGTCTATAGACCAAAGCGGCTGAGCTGCCATGGAAAGACGTCGAGGACGGGTTGTCCTGCAAGGTTGTATTTTCTGGACCACTGAGTTGGTTGTACGGCGCGAAAAAGGGTCTGTCCATGTACTGTGTTTGTATCGAGGTGTGTGTGGCTTGGTGTCCAAGTGTCTGGAATGTTGGGTGTATTGGGGGGCACGAATCCCAGCTTCCCAGCTGTGGTGGGTTGGCTGGGCTGTGGCAGGGGGTGGGGGAAGTGGTTCTGGTTGGAATGCTGTGCCAGTGCCAAGTGTTGGTGTAGTAGTAGTATTGTTTTCGGCGGTGTGTGTGGCTGGAAAGTGATAAGGGTGTTGGTAGTGATGACGGACTGCATTGGTCAGGGGCCCGTATCCCGCGCTGGGAGCTGCGGTGGAGTAGTATTGGTGCCACCATTGTTGATGTGCGTCCATGTTGGAGATCGGAATGTCAAAAAGTGCCTGATATTGCTTGAAAGCTTGGAGGCTGCTGATCGTTGAAAGTTCGAACCACTATGGCTGGCGGAAGTCAAAATGCTGCTTGCTCTCCAATCCACTTTATCTCGCAAGGTTTCAACTGAGCGGTAAATTGCAACATGGGATGATTGGGAAAAGGTCAATTGATGAAAACTGTGAATTCGTGAACACTGATCGGGGAAGTGGAAGACTGAAAATAAACGTACTGTTGTAGTCCAGTCTTGCAATGTGTGGCGAGCAACCGCAATCAATCATGAAAGTGTACCATGTAATAAATAGTAGGTGAAGGAATAGGAATAGGAAAGGGGTGACGAAATCGTGTACCAAGTGGCCTTGAAGTCGAGCAAAATAGAATTATGTAGTAGGAACAGTCGCGAAGCTAAGGGTTTTTTGCCGGAGTGGCTGGTTGTCTTGGGTCTGTACAAAGCAAAAACGGAAAGCTGTCGGTCTTTCTGACCGGTTGAAACTCATGGCGCCGAACCAGTAGCGTCCCACCATGGGCCGTCTGGGCCTGAAGATGCTTCCGGGTGATTGGGCCGTATGTTGGTGTGCGGTGGTAAATAGAGAAAGGTGGGTGTGTTGGGTGTTGGCTGAAAATTGTGTGGTAGTGTTGTGGGTGGTCCGACAGGT